ACATGAACCTCAATTCCAAGCATCATGTTTGAAGGAAACCAGCTCTGCTCATCACCTGCAGAGTACCATCCCAAAAGTAAAGTGTGCTGGTAGCAGCTTCATGCTGTGGGGGTGTTTTTCAGCGGCAGGGACTGAGGGACTCATCAGAGTAGAAGAAAAGCTCAATGCACCAAAATATTGAGATAGCCTTAATGAAAACCCAGTCCAAAGCATTCAGACCCTCAGACGGGGCAGAAGGTTCACCTTCCAACAGGACAATGACCCTAAGCACACAGCAAGAGTGGCTTATAGACAACTGTGTGAATGTCCTTGAGTAGCCCAGCCAGAGCCTGAGCTTGAACCCAGTCAAATATTTCTGGAAAAACCTGAAAATGTGCATCTCTCCCCATCCAAGCTGACAAAGCTTGAGAGGTGAAGAGGCGTGTTGAAGAATGGCAGATTATTGCCAAATGCTGATAAGCAAAGCTTGTCGCATCAAACAAAAAAGACTTGAGACTGTAAAGGTGCTTCAGCTAAATATTTAGTTATGCAGTGTACTTATTTCAGTTTTTTTATTTTTAATACATTTACGAATTGTGACAATTCTGTTTTTGCTTTGTCAGTATGGTGTATGGAGTGTAGATTGATGTGGAAAAAAGTAATTTAAAGCAGTTTAACATAAGGCAGCAACATAACAAAACGTGAAAAAAAATTAAGGGGTGTGAATACTTTCGCAAGGCACTGTATGTATCTTATTTACTTTTTATTTTACTGTGTACTGTTGCTCTCTTGCTGTGCACTGGAAGTTTCTTCATTCACCAAGACAAATTACTTGTGTCTGTGAACATGCTTAGCAATACATTTCTTTCTGATTTCTTACATTTTCTAAATGATTTAAAATAATACTTAAACATTTTGGAACAAACAAAAACACTGAAAACATGTAATGTTATAAAATCTTTTTGAAATTTATAGAAGTGATTTTTTTGGTCTGGCAGCTAATGTGAATAATGTGACTATCTTAACTTGTGACTATCCTATTTTATTAAAAAATAAAATAAATAAATAAGGGAAGCTGTATATTTAAATTCCATGTCTGATGATTATTATATATGTATAATGATTATAAAAAAATTTTTTTTTTTAAATAGTTCTACGTAGTGTGTACTATGTTACACCACCTGACATGCCAACGTCCCCAAAGTATTTCTCGAGTATTTTCGTGTATGTTAATTAGTTGGGTGTACACTCTGAACAAGGCCTTTGGAATCGTCCTAACCTTCTCGGTATGGTATATAGTAAATATAGCTAAAAGGCAGTAAAAAAGCGGAGGGAGAGTAGTCTGAATTGGGTTCTAGCATCTTGTACTAGCTTACACATTGAACTCATTCGCCAGCCGCGAGTGTTTCCAAGTCAGCGGGGATCGCATCAGTTGATTTGCTGAAACTGCGCGTATATCAACGTCTCGTGCGAGAACACCGCGCTGTGACACCCATGATGCCTGTGCGCTCGCTCATCTGTTCAGATGATGTCCTGCGAGGACAGCGATTGGCTCTTGTCTCAGACCTTCCCCGAGGTGATTGGAAGAGTGACGAGCACCCAGCACGTGACCTCTACAGTAAGCTTCCATCCGCTCCGGAATGTGACGTAAGCTGCGTCCGTTTATTTAGCCTCGCCACTGAACAACTCTTTACAATGACGGTGAATCATTTAGCTGATGGAAAGTAAAACAATTTTAAAACATATATTAGTAAAACATTTCGGCTCAGCTTCGATTCTCAGATAATTGTTTGTTTGTTTGTTTGTTTGTTTGTTGGTTAAAATATTTAACACTAATCTCGACCAAGCGTTCAGGGTGGTGTTTATGTAAATGAATTCGCAGTGATTGGGTAGTTGATGCGTGACGTGTCCATTAACTTTTTTTTTATATAACGTGCATCATGTATATAAATTAAAAGGGAAAGCTGTATGTTTTCAGAATTATATTTTGGAATATAAAAACATTACATTATGAAATTATCTATTTTATTAAGAAAGCACTATTCACACAAGCAGAAATTGGCTATTTGCAAACAAAATTTCTTACATTTTCTAAATGATTTAAAGTGATACATAAACCATTTGGAACAAACTAAATAAAAAAAATAAGGGAAGCTGTACATTTAAAATGTTCACAATTTTTTAAACACCTTTGCTAGTTTTTGTTTTAAACCCCATGCATAATAATTATAAAACAATTTTAAAAGTTTTCAATACTTTTACATGGATTATACTATATTACACCACCAGATATGTCAGCTTCACAAGTATTTCATGAGTATTTTCATATATGTGCAGTATTTTGGATAGTAAAACGTTCCACTACCAGTTCCAATTTTTACTTTTGTGCTGTATATGAACACGATTCATTTTGAGGTTAGCAAGTTTTTATTATTATGATTTTGGCCATATTTCTATAGTTTTACAGCAATCAGTAATGTGATACATCACTTAAGAAGCTTAATAAGTATATCTAACATTAAACAGTTGGTGTAAGTAAGCGAATTGTGTCCATATATAGATTTTATCATGTGTTGATGTGCATTTGCTCTAAATGTAGTGTTTAAAGAAAAATATGCAAATGTTCCATGTAGAGGATGACCCCATGGCTCAGACAGATGAGCCAAATATAGCCACTCAAAGTCGTGAGAGACATAACATCTGCTATGATTATACCACAGATACCACAGCTGGACTCAATAATTTTCATATAAACATTTATTTACAAATGAAGTACTCATTTTGAACACACAGATAAATATATTTTTTAAGGGGGACCGACAAAGGAGCTGAGAACAATGTGTCTTTCTGAGAATGTACATTAAATCAAGCAAGTACAAGCAAGATTTATTTTTTATATGCTTAATTTTAATTTAAAATGTATATATTATAAGAAATATACTGCACTTGTATGCTTAAAAAATCTCCTCAGGTCTCTTCTCTGTTTTGAATGGTTGCTAATATCCAACAATTTCTTTCAACGCAGAAGTAAGATCTGGGTATTGAAACTCAAAGCCAGACTCAAGGGTTTTCTTGGGCACCACTTTCTGGCCTTGTGTGAGGATAACAGCTCTCTCAGAACCGAGGAAGACATCCAAGAAAAAGCCAGGCACAGGGAAGATAGTAGGTCTTTTTAGAGTCCTGCCCAATGCCTTAGTGAATTCAAAATTGGTATTCAATGAAGGGGAAACTCCATTAAATACATCTGGCTCTGTGGATGGTGGTCCTTCTTTGGGCTCCAAGGCATGGGCGATGATGCCAGCAAGGTCTGACACATGGATCCAAGGGAAGGGCTGTCGTCCTGAGCCAAGCGTCCCACCCAGGCCAAGCCAGAAGGGAATCAACATCTGTTTCATGGCGCCACCGTCACGCCCTAACACTGCACCTGAGGGTGAGTGGAAGAAAGTACAAAATTACACTTCTGTTCAAAAGTTAGGAATCAGTCCGTTTTTTTTCTGTTGTTGAGTCTCTTATGATCACAAAGGCGTTTGATCAAAGATACAGTAAAAACAGTAATATTGTGAAATATTATTACAATATAAAATAATTGTTTTCTATTTTAACAAATTTTGAAATGTAATTTATTACATTATATTTTGTTATATTGCAGGTGAGATCTAGCACTCTGCCGAGACATTTGTTTATATTAACCTGGTCTGATGATCACTTGTCTTGTTTTCTTAGCGCTGTTTTCAGGAAGTTGCCCTGCGGCCTCCCACTCTTTCACCAAACGAGACAGGAGGTCAAATGGTGTCCAGTCACTCTCCTCAGTGTATTGGGTTTGAAGACAAGGTTTATAACATGCTGAAAACAAAATCAGAGAAAAGTGGCATGAAAAGTCTACCTTAAAAATTGCATTATTAAACATAATTGTAGACAGAGAACATTACTCTGTAATCTGTATAAATGGTCTTTTTTCCTTTAACTGATCAAATCAGTATAGAGGAGACAAGAACACAGATGGAGAGGGATGTAAATGGGTTTATTCTGACAAGTTACTCTTCATTATTTAGAAAAAATAAATAAATAAATAAATAAAAAATATATATATATATATATTGTGTAGCTTGCTAAAAAAAAACACCCCTTATTTACCTATTCCTGTAACAAGCACCCATGAATGTGGTGGAGTGGGTGAAGCAGCAATGGCTTGGACAAGAATTTTGGTTGTGTTTACTCGGCTGGAGAACAGATCCTTTTTGAAACTTTTATTCCACCTAGAGAAAATATTAAGATGATATTAATATAACCATACTAAAGTGAAGATCAGTGAATCATTATTTGAATGTAATTATTCATATACACTGTCACTAAGAAAAAAATCCTTACCATCTTAAAGGATTCATAATATTCTCCCCTGCTAGATTCACAGCGCCGTCACATGGCGGGAGGCCTCCTGACTCTACATCAGCCTGTTGGAACAGGTAAATATGTCAGTTACCAAAATGCAACATTTGGCTTGTCAACCGCCATTAAATCGTACAAGAAGAAGAAGAAGAAAATGCAACATTTAGATTGAACTTTATCTGTAAAAGGTATTTTAACATCATACATTCATGAATGACTCCAGAGCTGGGCCTTACGAAGCAATTAATTATTACTATGATGTTGAATAACATTGTAATCAGGTTCATATCAAGTTTGGCATTACTTTGTATGCTTTGTATTTCGTTCTGATACAGAGTAAATCCAAACTATGAAGTAACTACCTTTTATCTAATGTCTGTGTTGTATTAATTCTTATTTTCTTTTTTTTATTTAGGGGTTTACTTCATGTGAACTGACTTTCTACTACGGATTTGAATGAGGTCCACTGGCCTTTATTTTACCAGAGATATAACCCAATTATGGTACAGAAGATTAAAGTACGTAATTGTGTTCTGTAGTATGGTTTGTCCATGCTTGCTTGCCATCTTGTTACTGTAAAAGATGCCAGCAATATATGTCAGTGAGGATTTGAAACGCTACAATAAATTCTCTTTAAAATGTCTGATTCATGGTGAGACTTGTGTACTAGTGAATTTTAAAGTTTAATATAAAAAAAGAGATTGGGTGCTAAAATCCTTTTGTGTGACAGAGTAAGTTATGGGGGAAGTCGTGGCCTAATGGTTAGAGAGTTGGACTCGTAACCCAAAGGTACCGGCAGGGATTGTAGGTGGGGGGAGTGAATGTACAGCGCTCTCTCCCACCTTCAATACCATGACTGAGGTGCCCTTGAGCAAGGCACCAAACCCCCAACTGCTCCCCGGGCGCCGCAGCATAAATGGCTGCCCACTGCTCCGGGTGTGTGTTCACTGCTGTGTGTGTGCACTTTGGATGGGTTAAATGCAGAGCACTAATTCCTAGTATGGGTAACCATACCTCACGTCACGTCACACACTTTTAAAAGTTATGCATATTCATATTTAACTGGGTTTTAAACCGTTTTAGACATTTCCAACAAGTTGGAAATGAACAAGCAGAACAACAAGCAGAAGGGTTTGATTACGGCATATGAATTTGTACTGCCAAAAGTGAATGCATTGACTAAAATGTAAGCATTTGCTAGTGAATTAATTTGTCTTGTTAAACCGGTTTATGGTTTAAAGCGATCTTTGTACAACTATTTACAAGATGCGAAGATTATATTAAATATACACCTAAGTCCAGATAATCCAGGAATTAATGTATAATGTTAATACAGTCTTAAAATTGGGGGAAGGGGGGGTAGTTCTGTATGAACGGTTTACAAACTTGAAGGTTGATTTTTAAAATGAAAGCAAGCTGCATAAATGCGTTCTCATAATGGAATTGTCAATTGATAAATGTAAAAACTGTAGGTCTTTATGCTGTCTCTTTCGGTGAAATTGTTGACCTGTTTATTCTCTACCGTACACTGTAAAAAAAAAAAAAAAAAATTCTGTAGTTTTTACAAAAACTAAACACGGCCAAAAACTGTAAATTTTATAGTATACAACTAATTTACAAACAAGAAAATTTGAATGTAAATTCAACAATGCACACTGCTATTAAAATCTGTTTTGTACCTTTAACATACTGACGACCACCATAATGCAGGTGGTAAAAGAGAAAGCCACATGAAGAATCAAAGCTCATCACAAGTAGCTTCGCCACAAGCAGAAATATATACTAATATATAGAAGGTGCACAGAGTCATTCATGCAAACACAAAACGCCATCATGGTAACACACATGATACTTAAATAATGCATTAAACTTTCATTAAACAACAGAAGATGTAACATAAAGACCAAATATACATAACTAATAACAAAAACTATAAAAAA